TGTTCTTGTTTTCTTTGACCTTCACTGCATGAACATCACTCCAGAGTTCCAAGAGTAAGTCAATGATTTAATGTCTTATTTTTTATTTATTTTATTTTACCTTTATTTAACTAGGCAAGTCAGTTAAGACAAATTCTTATTTACAATGACGGCCTACACCGGCCAAACCCGGACGACGCTGGGCCAATTGTGCGCCGCCCTATGGGACTCCCAATCACGGCCGGTTGTGATACAGCCTGGAATCGAACCAGGGAGTCTGTAGTGGCGCCTCAAGCACTCAAGCACTGAGCACTGAGATGCAGTGCCTTAGACCGCTGCGCCACTCGGGAGCCCAATTTTATAATATTTATAATATTGAATAATATTGTCTACCTATCAGCTCATTTAAATGTCTTATAAAGGTATACAATTATTAGTTTTCTTAGGGTAGTAGACTTCAATCAATGAATAGGTTTAAAGCATTGTTTTTGTTCATTATGCACAAGATTAAAATACCCCATGAGATTTGAATCAAAGTTCAGTCTTCCCAAATGTGCTCTTTTTACATGTGTTTTGGAACTAAATTAATAAATAGTAATATTCACAAGTTGTAATCTATGTGGAACTATGAGCAAATATTTTGCAGACTAGGCCCACTAGACTGATGGATGGCAGTAGGCTCCATTCTCAACGATCCAGTTGAACGGTGCAAGTATGCTCAATACTCTTTGCTACAGCTTGAGGGCACTAGCAGCTCATGTGATTTAGGCCCATGGATCCATACACATGGATTTCTGACTCATAAATCCTTGACAAATCTTTAATCATGTGGAAACAAGTAATACCCTGGCTTGTGTGAATTCCAATTGCCTGAAGATTGGCCAACTCTGACTTTCATCGCCTAAAACCCATGTATGTAATGATGAAATTCAGATTATATGGTGATGGGTAAAAAATAATTTGTTAAACGGGAGGTCAAAAGAGGCTTGTGAAATCAGACAGACCATATAAGGACATGTCTTTGACACCCAAAGCAATTGCAGACTTTCTCTCACCTCTCTGGAATATATATATTTTTTAGAATTGTCCTATTTCCATATTTAGTCAATCCCCAGCCTACCTGTGTTGTCAGTAGCTATACTGTCTCCATTGATGACAGTTACTGTTTATCTCTGTTTAGATAAGCAAGCTGCCACAGCAGGCCTAAGTACTGTGGTGACTGTCTGCACCACTCCTCCCTAGCAATTCTTCCATTCCTCAGCGGACATTTCTAATTTCAAGCAGACTTCCATACTCCTCCGTAGTGGATATCTCTGGAACTCTTTTTAAGTGTGGACTCTGACAATCAATACAAGCCATGAGAGGAGTTTGATAAATTGCTGCTGGCATACAATATGCCATGTGTTCTGCCATGCCATGTGTTCAGTCCACTTTACAAACCAACAGTATTGTGTGCATAAATCTTCCAGTGCTGGTGCATTGACATGCAGCCAGGGATCTTCCCTTTGGCCTCACAGCATTTGTTTGGCTTCCGTGAACACATTGTACGTTTGGGAGGGAAGTCATTTTGTTTAGATGGCGATGGCCCAAAGCACATTAATCTTTTTGGAACACAATAACTGTTAACTGACTGCCAAACATGGTGGTGAGTGGTGAACTTACATCCCCCAAAAGTTTTAGAACACCTACTCATTCAAGGGTTTTTCTTTATTTGTACTATTTTTTACATTGAAGAATAATAGTGAAGACATCAAAACTATGAAATAACACATATGGAATCATGTAGTAACCAAAAAAGTGTTAAACAAATCAAAATATATTTTATATTCTTCAAATAGCCACCCTTTGCCTTGATGACAGCTTTGCACACACTTGGCATTCTCTCAACCAGCTTCATGAGGTAGTCACCTGGAATGCATTTCAATTAGCAGGTGTGCCTTCTTAAAAGTTCATTTGTGGAATTTCTTTCCTTCTTAATGGCTAGAATGGTCCCACCTGATCTCGCCTCCTCCCACCTGCCTTCCATCTTTGGGGACATGTATTTCCATTGTTAGAGTGGTCACTTTACCATCTTGTACCCCATGTAGCCATTGCATTGACATCAGCATGGATCCTCTAACTCTCAGAGAACAGCAGGATGCTAGCTGCCGATCTCCAATGCTTTAGCGTTATAAGAACCCAAACAGAGCCTGCAGCAATCACCCTCCCAAGAGTCTCCAGGCCCTCGCCACAGCAGCAGCAGGTCATCTGTCTGTGCACCTTCCATCCCTGAGCCCCATGTGTCAGTATCTGTCAGTATCTGCTATCTGTCACATGGTGTCCCATCTCTGCATCATTTATCCTGGTGCTCTGGGTGTTGGCATAATTATCGCTTCCTCTGTCTCCCCATTCATCACCGCTCACTAATTTAGCACTGCAGAGGAGACTTATAAACTTCGATGGAAACTAATTAGAAAGGAGAATGAGGCAGAAAATTGGAGGGAGGTTGTTCTTTAAAAAGTACAGTGGGGGGAAGTATGGAGTTGTACTACGAATTTGAATAATATCATTTGTATTTGTATATATTAGGGATCCCCATTAGCTGCTGCCAAGTCAACAGCTACTCTTCCTGGGGTCCAAACACATTAAGGCACTTACATCACACACAAAATATAAAACAGTACATCATATAACATTATTACACCACTACATATCTACAATATAAAATGTGTAATACCACCATACAACAATATTACAATGTACATGTGTGTAGAGTGCATGTGCTATCGTTTGTGTGCATATGTGTGTGTCTGTACCTGTGTGTGTTGCATTCTATGTGTTCATTTTCTATGTTGGGTGTTCTAGGTTGTCTATGTCTATGTTTGCATGTGTGACTCCCAATCAGAGGCAACGAGTGTCAGCTGTCGGCTGGTTGTCTCTGATTGGGAGCCATATTTAAACTGTGTGTTTTCTCTTGGGTGTTGTGGGTTTTTGTTCCGTGTCGGTATGTTAACCGTTGGACTTCACGAGTCGTGTTTTGTTTGTTTGTTAGTACTTTAATTAAATAAAGTCATGTTTCTTTCACACGCTGCGCCTTGGTCTACTACTCCTTACCCAGACGATCGTGACAGAAAAACCCACCATACCAGGACCAAGCAGCGTGTCCAGGAACAGGCAACCTGGACGTGGGAGCAGCGTCGGAGGGTCGAGAGGCAACCCCAATAAATTTTTAGGGGGGGGCACACGGCATGGACGACGGGGCTGACGGAGGCAAAGATGGGGCGAATCCAGGAGGCCAACAGGCCAGGGGTACACCGCCCTGTACGTCCTGTGCGGATGCCTCACACAGAGTGTGTGAGGGTAGGCATTCAGCCAGGACGGGTGGTGGCCGCTCTTCACTCCAGGTCTCCTATCCGTCTCCACAGCCCGGTTCGGCCTGTCCCTGCTCCACGCACCAAGCCTACGGGGTGCGTCGCAAGCCCAGCCCGGCCTGTCCCTGCTCCACGCACCAAGCCTACGGGGTGCGTCGCCAGCCCAGCCCGGCCTGTCCCTGCTCCACGCACTAAGCCTACGGGGTGCGTCGCCAGCCCAGCCTGGCCTGTCCCTGCTCCACGCACCAAACCTACGGTGTGCGTCGCCAGCCCAGCCCGGCCTGTCCCTGCTCCACGCACCAAACCTACGGTGTGCGTCGCCAGCCCGGCCCAGCCTGTTCCTGCCACTCGCACCAAACCTACGGTGTGCGTCGCCAGCCCAGCCCGGCCTGTCCCTGCTCCACGCACCAAACCTACGGTGTGCGTCGCCAGCCCGGCCCAGCCTGTTCCTGCCACTCGCACCAAACCTACGGTGTGCGTCGCCAGCCCGGCCCGGCCTGTTCCTGCCACTCGCACCAAACCTACGGTGCGCGTCGCCAGCCCGGCCCGGCCCGTTCCTGCCACTCGCACCAAGCCAGGGGTGCGAGTCGTCAGCCTGGTCCAGCCCGTTCCTGCCACTCGCACCAAGCCAGGGGTGCGAGTCGTCAGCCTGGTCCAGCCCGTTCCTGCCACTCGCACCAAGCCAGGGGTGCGAGTCGTCAGCCTGGTTCAGCCCGTTCCTGCTACTCGCACCAAGCCCGGGGTGCGAGTCGTCAGCCTGGTAAGACCGGTCAGCTGCTCCACAACGGAGCGTAAGCTATCCGCTCCGTCTATGTCCAGTCCAGATCCAGCCAGCGGGGTCAGACCGGACCAGGGGCGCTACGGGGGTATTATGGAGGGGTGGTGGTCAAGGCCGGAGCCGGAGCCGCCTCCGAGGAGGAATGCCCACCCAGCCCTCCCCTGTTTGGGGTTTGTTAAGACGCGGTCGCAGTCCCGCCTTTAGGGGGGGGTACTGTCACACCCTGGCTCTGGGACTCTATATGTTGAGCCAGGGTGTGTGCATTCTATGTGTTCATTTTCTATGTTGGGTGTTCTAGGTTGTCTATGTCTATGTTTGCATGTGTGACTCCCAATCAGAGGCAACGAGTGTCAGCTGGTCGGCTGGTTGTCTCTGATTGGGAGCCATATTTAAACTGTGTGTTTTTTCTCTTGGGTGTTGTGGGTTTTTGTTCCGTGTCGGTATGTTAACCGTTGGACTTCACGAGTCGTGTTTTGTTTGTTTGTTAGTACTTTAATAAATAAAGTCATGTTTCTTTCACACGCTGCGCCTTGGTCTACTACTCCTTACCCAGACGATCGTGACAGAGTGTGTCCTCTTCACATCTGTTTTTTTAAATCTGATTCTCCTGCTTGCATCAGTTACCTGATGTGGAATAGAGTTCCATGTAGTCATGGATAATATATAATATATATGCCATTTATGAGGTACTGTGTGCCTCCCATAGTATGTTCTGGACTTGTGGATTGTGAAGAGACCTCTGGTGTCATGTCTTGTGGGGTATGCATGGGTGTCCATGCATTCAGCATGTCAACACTTCTTACGAAAACAATCATGATTTGTTCCCTAGCTGACAGTGTTTTTTTGTTTCTACATGCAGGCCTGTTGTGATACTACAGATTGGTATTGCAGTGTTGGTGGTTGTGTGGTTTTTCTACTTCCTGATCACACGTCGGAACCCGCCCAAAGACACCCTGTTTTATGGTATGTTATTGGTCACTATTTCATGATGATGATGATGTTATTTCCAACTTGAATTAGCCATGCAATATGGGTGATTATTAGTTTAACAAAGCACCAATGCATTTAAACACAGATCCCCTCTGTGTAAAATGGTTGAGTAAGTTATAGTGTCATGAGTCATGACCACTACGTATGTAGTCAAATTCCAACTGCACTGAAGAGATTTCCAGAAGGTTCTGCATGTGAGTCATGTGAATTGTTTTAATTGTTTCATTATTTAATCTACAAACCTGCTTATACTGATCAGGATCTCCTTACACAGAGCAAAGCTGAAACCCAGACTGACATATACGTGTCATGGGTGACGACAAGGGCATGTTAGTCTCATCCTTATGACACCACAGTTCTAGGAGAGCCAGAAAGACCTGGAGCTTGAGGGTAAGGGCACGTGAGCTCACTACGCCCTTTATACATTAGATGCCTTACTTCTTGCTGAACTTACAGACTGACTGAACTTATTGACTGCGGATGACTGTTCCATATGGGATGAAGAGCAGTAATGACACGTCATTACCAAATAAGAAGACAAAAAACAACATATAGATTGATACATCGGCCACAGGTACTTGGAGAGTGACGGCGTGTGTGTCTCTATCTGTGTGTTTATCAGGGGACAGCAGCATCGTCAGGGAGATGGGGAGGGATGCAAGACGGCTGTCTGACACACAGGTGCCATTACAAGGACGTTTGACGTTATACGGGACAGCCAATCCTTGTAATACAGCTAATATGGATTGTGCACCCTATTCCATTTCATGAAAACATGAGTTCATGGAACTCTTTATAAGCCTGTAAAATGTCCTGTAAAGGTACATCGCCTGGCTGTAAACTGTGATCAGAATGAGTTAACACTCATAAGATATCCACAGTATACAGTAAATGTACAAATACACTTTGTCTGGCTCTAAAAGTCTATATATAAATTAATGGTAGTAATGGCTACTGACTGACTGTGCGGGCAGTTCCTTTAATCCTTGAGATTACCCGTGCGTCAATCTATACTGAACAAAAATATAAACGCAACGTGCTGGTGTTGGTGCCATGTTTCATGAGCTGAAATAAAATATCCTAGAAATGTTCCATACACACAAAAGGCTTATAATAATAATAAACAAATATGTTTACATCCCTGTTAGTGAGCATTTCTCCTTTGCCAAGATAATCCATCCACCTGATAGGTGTGGCATATCAAGAAGCTGATTAAACAGCATGATCATTACACAGGTGCACCTTGTGCTGGGGACAATAAAAGGCCACTCTAAAATGTGCAGTTTTGTCACACAACACAATGCCACAGAAGTCTCAAGTTTTGAGGGAGTGTACAATTGGCATGCTGACTGCAGGAATATCCACCAGAGAATGTAATGTTAATTTCTCAACCATAAGCCGCCTCCAACGTCATTTTAGAGAATTTGGCAGTACGTCCAACCGGCCTCACAACCGCACACCACGTGTAACCATGCCAGCCCAGGACCTCCACATCCGGCTTCTTCACCTGCTGGATCGTCTGAGACCAGCCACCCGGACAGCTGATGAAACTGAGGAGTATTTCTGTCTGTAATAAAGCCCTTTTGTGGGGAAGAACTCATTCTGATTGGCTGGGCCTGGCTCCCAAGTGGGTGGGCTTGTGCCCCACCCATGGCTGTGCCCCTGCCCAGTCATGTGAAATCCATAGATTAGGGCCTAATTCATTTATTTCAATTGACTGATTTCCTTATATGAACTGTAACTCAGTAAAATCATTGAAATTGTAGCATGTTGTGTTTTTATATTTTTGTTCAGTATAAGTAACATCCACCGCATCCGCCTATGTCAGCCTTCCGCATCTGCGGTGGAAGGTGGCCAAGCTACAGTGGTGTTTGTCAGACCATGAGACATCCCGACAATAGGTCTTCTCACGAAAATGTCTGTAGCGTCCAAACGGTTTGGCCTACAAACTAATATGACCACTCTATTGAAAGATGAGACTCTCACACAAGTCTCACGGGTCTGAAGGTAACCAGAACCTGTTTTAAAAAATGGATGGAAGTATGGAGGTAGTTTTGTGCCAACAAAAAAAAGGGTTAAATATGTGTCCAAAAAACAAACATATTTCCTTAGCTTTCTTATGTCTCCTAGATATAGGAAAGTCACTTCAAAACCTTATTCCTTATGATTTATTTTTTGACTGTCGGTTTTGCCATTTATAAATGTGTTATTAAATGCGTTTATATGGGCTATAATAGTAAAGGCCAAATGCAATATTTTATCAAATCATTTAAAAATATACACTACTGGTCAAACGTTTTAGAACACCTACTCATTCAAGGGTTTTTCTTTATTTTGACTATTTTCTACATTGTAGAATAATAGTGAAGACATCAAAACTATGAAATAACACATATGGAATCATGTAGTAACCAAAAAAGTGTTAAACAAATCAAAATATATTTTATACTTGACATTCTTCAAATAGCCACCCTTTGCTTTGATGACCGCTTTGCACACTCTTGGCATTCTCTCAACCAGCTTCATGAGGTAGTTACCTGGAATGCATTTCAATTTTCCCACCGTAAAGCATGGAGGAGGAGGTGTTATGGTGTGGGGGTGCTTTCCTGGTGACACTGTCTGTGATTAACCAGCATGGCTACCACAGCATTCTGCAGCAATACGCCATCCCATCTGGTTTAGGCTTAGTGGGACTATCATTTGTTTTTCAACAGGACAATGACCCAACACACCTCCAGGCTGTGTAAGGGCTATTTTACCAAGAAGGAGAGTGATGGAGTGCTGCATCAGATGACCTGGCCTCCACAATCCCCCGACCTCAACCAAATTGAGATGGTTTGGGATGTCTCGGACCGCAGAGTGAAGGAAAAGCAGCCAACAAGTGCTCAGCAAATGTGGGAACTCCTTCAAGACTGTTGGAAAAGCATTCTAGGTGAAGCTGGTTGAGAGAATGCCAAGAGTGTGCAAAGCTGTCATCAAGGCAAAGGGTGGCTATTTGAAGAATCTCAAATATAAAATATATTTTGATTTGTTTAACACTTTTTTGGTTACTACATGATTCCATATGTGTTATTTCATAGTTCTGATGTCTTCACAATTATTCTACAATGTAGAAAATAGTAAAAATAAAGAAAAACCCTTGAATGAGTAGGTGATCTAAAACTTTGATCAGTAGTGTATATTTTTGATACCTACAGGGGTCCTAAAATTCTAAATGAAATAGCTAAATGATCCATGGTATGACCATCTTAAATCAACCCCCCCCCCCCCCCCCCCCGCACATTACCAGCCACTTTAACTGAGCTCCTTTCCTTGGCTATCTCCAGTCCTCTTGATCCACCGCCACTCATTATGTGTCTCCCAGACTCTGAGATAGGTGCCCTCTCAGCACCATGTGTTCTAAACCCGAGGAAAACTCAACCCACATCTCCCAATATAAATCTCCCTTCACCCAGCCTACAGCTAGCAGACATAATTATTTCTCTCCACATCCCAGGAAATCAATAGCTGGTTGGTTGGTTGGAGGGAAATGTTTTAAACACAGAAGGATGGTGAGAGAGAGGGAGTGTGGAAGAAAACGAGTTGTAGTGGTTAACTAACTGTTCATGAGAGAAAAGGAGGTTGAGCTTCTCACAAATCCAGTCTTGTTCAAAGCGTCTTTATAAGCAGTAATATTGTTCTGACAGTTTTATTAAATGTTTTAAGAGGAAGACAAAGCAGATTGGGTAATAATTACATGGAGGAAGGAGCTTTCTCTTTATCATAAATACAATGAGGATAATGATCATTGTTCCTACAGCTACAGAATTCTGTTGGAATCTGCTGAATTCCACAACAAATTGAATGAGGGCCTTTTTTAGAGCTGAATATGCTCACAAATGCAATCCATGTAGCTAATCACTACAAAGAAAGTTGAACAGACCAACAGCCACGCATTAATCCAAGTTATTTTCAGTTGTGTAATTGAGGTTTTCAACATAAACATTATATAATGCTGTATTGCTTCATTATTGCCCACTTTCACAATATTAATCTTCCACAGTACTCAATGTTAGCATTGTCTTTACAGTGTTTGCTGAGTTCTCCTTCACTTGTGTCATTGACCTTGTGAGTTCTTTGGAACATGACAGCTTTATCTCTGGGTTTATGGAATTCTGACATCTTTGTGTGACCACATTTACATCCACACACCATCTCACTGCTGGGCCATTGATTTGAAGCTGTATGCTGCCACTAGTTTACAGTGATGGGAGTAACCCCTTTGGGCCATTTATTTCCCTCTCTCAGTAAGTCTTACCGCACCCTCGGTCTCTTCTGGGCTGGATCGTTGTTTGCCAACAGGAGTGTCTTTGTGACAGGAATTGTTGTAGGTGAGTCTCTCCTTTCCCCTCCTGTATCCCACAATGACCGAGTTAATCAACGGTACATCTGTACAGCGTTGTAGCATCAGTGTCATAGTGTAGGCTGCCAACACAACACACCTTTAGAATTTACAGAACAAAGCAAAACTAGTCTCAAATCAAATCAAATTGTATTTGTCACATGCGCCGAATACAACAGGTGTAGACCTTATAGTGAAAGCCCTTAACCAACAATGCAGTTTTAAGAAAGAATACCAAAATAAATCACACAAAAAAAAACAATATAAAATAACATAAAAATAAAAGTAACAAATAATTAAAGAGCAGCAGTAAAAATAACAGTAGGGAGGCTATATACAGGGGGTACCGGTACCGAGTCAACCGGTGCGGGGGCACCGGTTAGTCGAGGTAATTGACAGAGACTGATGTGGTGTACTCCTCAATGCCATCGGAAGAATCCCGGAACATATTCCAGTCTGTGCTAGCAAAACAGTCCTGTAGCTTAGCATCTGCTTCATCTGACCACTTTTTTATTGACCGAGTCACTGGTGCTTCCTGCTTTAGTTTTACCTTGTAAGCAGAAATCCGGAGGATAGAATTATGGTCAGATTTGCCAAATGGAGGGCGAGGGAGAGCTTTGTACGCGTCTCTGTGTGTGGAGTAAAGGTGGTCTAACGTTTTTTTCCCTCCTGCCATCCAGGACCTCTATACCAGGCGGTGTCAGAGGAAGGCCGTCAAAATTGTCAAAGTCTCCAGCCACCCTAGTCATAGACTGTTCTCTCTGCTACCGCACGGCAAGCGGTACCGGAGTGCCAAGCTCTCTGCAGGTCATTCACTAGGTCCCCCCGTGTGGTTCTGGGATTTTTGCTCACTGTTCTTGTGATCATTTTGACCCCACGGGGTGAGATCTTGCGTGGAGCCCCAAATCGAGGGAGATTATCAGTGGTCTTGTATGTCTTCCATTTCCTAATAATTGCTCCCACAGTTGATTTCTTAAAACCAAGCTGCTTACCTATTGCAGATTCAGTCTTCCCAGCCTGGTGCAGGTCTACAATTTTGTTTCTGGTGTCCTTTGACAGCTCTTTGGTCTTGGCCATAGTGGAGTTTGGAGTGTGACTGTTTGAGGTTGTGGACAGGTGTCTTTTATACTGATAACAAGTTCAAACAGGTGCCATTAATACAGGTAATGAGTGGAGGACAGAGGAGCCTCTTAAAGATGAAGTTACAGGTCTGTGAGAGCCAGAAACCTTGCTTGTTTGTAGGTGACCAAATACTTATTTTCCACCATAATTTGCTAATAAATTCATTAAAAATCCTACAATGTGATTTTCTGGATTTTTTTTCTCTCAATTTGTCTGTCATAGTTGACGTGTACCTATGATGAAAATTACAGGCCTCTCTCATCTTTTTAAGTGGGAGAACTTGCACAATTGGTGGCTGACTAAATACTTTTTTCCCCCACTGTATTACCTCAACTACCTCAACTAGCCGGTGCCCCCGCACATTGACTCTGCACCGGTACCCCCCTGTATATATAGCCTCCCTACTGTTCTTTTATTTTATTTTACTTCTGCTCTTTTTTTCTCAACACTTTTTTGTTGTTGTTGTTGTTTTATTTTACTTTTTTATAAAAAAAATAATGCATTGTTGGTTAAGGGCTATAAGTAAGCATTTCACTGTAATGTCACCTGTTGTATTCGGCACATGTGGCCAATAAAATTTGATTTGATTTGATAACATGCTGGTAGAAATTAGGTAAAACAGATTTAAGTTCCCTGCATTAAAGTCCCCTGCCACTATAAGCGCCGGCGCTGGATGAGTGTTTACCTGTTTGCTTATGGTCGTATACAGCTCATTGAGTGTGATCTTAGTGCCAGCATCAGTTTGTGGTGGTAAATAGACAGCTACGAAGAATATAGATGAAAACTCTCTTGGTAGATAGTGTGGTCTTCAGCTTATCATGAGATACTCTACCTCAGGCAAGCAAAACCTTGAGACTTCCTTAGATATCGTGCACCAGCTGTTGTTTACAAATATACATAGACCTCCACCCCTTGTCTTACCAAAGGCTGCTGTTTTATCCTGCCGATACAGTGTATAACCCGCCAGCTGTATGTTATTCATGTCTTCGTTCAGCCACGACTCTGTGAAACATAAGATATTACAGTTTTTAATGTCCCGTTGGTAGGATATAAGTGCTTGTAGTTCGTCCACTTTATTATCAAGCGATTGTAAATTGGCCAATAGTATCGATGGCAAAGGCAGATTAGCCACTCGTCACCGGCTCCTTACCAGGCACCCCGATCTCCTTCCGTGATATCTCCGTCATTCGCAGTAGAAAGAAAAGGAGATAAGGGCCCTGTCGGGTGTCTGGAGCAAATCCCTCTCATCCGACTCATTAAAGAAAAATTATTTGTCCACTTCAAGGTGAGTAATCGCTGTTCTGATGTCCAGAAGCTATTTTCTGTCACAAGAGACGGTAGCAGCAACATTATGTACAAAATAAGTTACAAACAATGCGAAAAAACACAAAATAGCACGGTTGGTTAAGAGTCCATAAAAAGGCAGCCATCCCCTCCGGTGCCAACAAAGCATCTGTTCTCTGGATTTCAAACAGCATAGGGAAGTATCGGAGGATCAAACTAACTCGCGGCAATGTGTTCACAACATTTTGTATTTAAGTTGTATATTTGTTCAATGATGCCCTACTGAGGACTTATTTAGAACATTATTTAAGTTCATTACAAGCTGTGTATAATAGAGCCTCCAAGTTATGAAAATGTGGTCTCCTCTTTTGGCTAAGGTCTCCTCTATTTCTCATGTAAACGTCATGGAAATGTGTCAACTTTAACATGGTTAAAATTAGACTGCTCTACTCTACTTCAGATGTACCCAGTTCCTCCTCATATAGTGCCTTGCAAAAGTATTCCTCCCCCTTGGCATTTTTCCTATTTTGTTGCATTACAACCTGTAATTTAAATGGATTTTTATTTGTATTTCATGTAATGGACATACACAAAATAGTCCAAATTGGTGAAGTGAAATGAAAAAAATAACTTGTTTCAAAGAATTCAAAAAAATAAATAACGGAAAAATGGTGCGTGCATATGTATTCACCCCCTTTGCTATGAAGCCCCTAAATACGATCTGGTGCAACCAATTACCTTCAGAAGTCACATAATGAGTTAAATAAAGTCCACCTGTGTGCAATCTAAGAGTCACATGATCTGTCACATGATCTCAGTATATATACACCTGTTCTGAAAGGCCCCAGAGTCTGCAACACCACTAAGCAAGGGGCACCACCAAGCAAGCGGCACCATGAACACCATGAAGGAGCTCTCCAAACAGGTCAGGGATAAAGTTGTGGAGAAGTATAGATCAGGGTTGGGTTATAAAAAAATATCCTAAACTTTGAACATCCCACGGAGCACCATTTAAATCCATTATTAAATAATGGAAATAATATGGCACCACAACAAACCTGTCAAGAGAGGGCCGCCCACCAAAACTCACGAACCAGGCAAGGAGGGCATTAATCAGAGAGGCAACAGAGACCAACGATAACCCTGAAGGAGCTGCAAAGCTCCACAGCGGAGATTGGAGTATCTGTCCATAGGACCACTTTAAGCCGTACACAGAGCTGGGCTTTACGGAAGAGTGGCCAGAAAAAAGCCATCACTTAAAGAAAAAAATAAGCAAACACGTTTGGTGTTCACCAAAAGGCATGTGGGAGACTCCCCTATTGCTTCCTATATGGGGAGCGATCAAGCTGTTCAACATGCCCAAGAGCGGACCCACCCTCAGTGGATACAGGGTGAGATGGAGAATGGCACAGCTGATTGACCTGGTGGAATACCTCGGGCCAGGAGTTTTACCTGACCTTGTGTCCTCACCAGGAAAACTAGGGCTCAGAACATAGAAATATAATGAATAGAATGGGCGTCCCCATAATACCCATAAAACCTAGCGGTCAAACAGGGAAATGGTTCCAATCGTTTTTCCACCATTCATTTTTCCTAAAGGGGATTAAAGAAACACTTAAAATAAGGGCTGTGTTTCATGTAGGCTTACCCTGGCGTGACATTTTGATAACCACCATGTAAATCTCTCTCGGACAAGGTGACTTTAATCAATATATTCGGCTCTATTTACTCTCAGATTCTAAAATGCTCATTAGCATCAAAGTAGACATCATGCAAGACTACAAATCCCTGCCATCTCATGCATGTCATCTCTAGCTGGCATCTTTCCTAACAGGTACTTTTAAAGACATTTTGACTATTTATTCATTACTACATTTAGTTAACAATAGATAGTTAATCCAGAGATTCTTACCTTTGCCTCAATTCGGCAGTCTTGTCCAGATCATCATGGCATTTGTAGTTCTTTATCATAGCCACATTAGCAGCTAATTAGCATGTAAAAAATGTTATAAATTGATTTGCATTTTAATGAGGGAAATAAGTATTTGACCCCTCTGCAAAACATGACTTAGTACTTGGTGGCAAAACCCTTGTTGGCAATCACAGAGGTCAGACGTTTCTTGTAGTTGACCACCAGGTTTGCACACATCTCAGGAGGGATTTTGTCCCACTCCTCTTTGCAGATCTTCTCCAAGTCATTAAGGTTTCGAGGCTGACGTTTGGCAACTCGAACCTTCAGCTCCCTCCACAGATTTTCTATGGGATTAAGGTCTGGAGACTGGCTAGGCCACTCCAGGACCTTAATGTGCTTCTTCTTGAGCCACTCCTTTGTTGCCTTGGCCGTGTGTTTTGGGTCATTGTCATGCTGGAATACCCATCCACGACCCATTTTCAATGCCCTGGCTGAGGGAAAGAGGTTCTCACCCAAGATTTGATCATTGCAACTCCACGAGGTGAGATCTTGCAAGGAGCCCCAGGCCGAGGGAGATTGACAGTTATTTTGTGTTTTTCCAATTGCGAATAATCGCACCAACATCTGCCACACTGATCCTCAACACGGGGGCCCCTCAGGGGTGCGTGCTCAGTCCCCTCCTGTACTCTCTGTTCACCCATGACTGCATGGCCAGGCACGACTCCAACACCATCATTAAGTTTGCCGACGACACAACAGTGGTAGGCCTGATCACCGACAACGATGAGACAGCCTATAGGGAGGAGGTCAGAGATCTGGCCGTGTGGTGCCAGGACAACAACCTCTCCCTCAACGTGACCAAGACAAAGGAGATGATTGTGGACTACAGGAAAAAAAAGAGGACTGAGCACGCCCCCATTCTCATCGACGGGGCTGTAGTGGAACAGGTTGAGAGCTTCAAGTTCCTTGGTGTCCACATCACCAACGAACTATCATGGTCCAAACACACCAAGACAGTCGTGAAGAGGGCACGACAAAGCCTATTCCCCCTCAGGAGACTAAAAAGATTTGGCATGGGTCCTCAGATCCTCAAAAAATTCTACAGCTGCACCATCGAGAGCATCCTGACTGGTTGCATCACCGCCTGGTATGGCAACTGCTTGGCCTCTGACCGCAAGGCACTACAGAGGGTAGTGCGTACGGCCCAGTACATCACTGGGGCAAAGCTCCCTGCCATCCAGGACCTCTATACCAGGCGGTGTCAGAGGAAGGCCCTCAAAATTGTCAAAGACTCCAGCCACCCTAGTCATAGACTGTTCTCTCTGCTACCCGCACGGCAAGCGGTACCGGAGTGCCAAGTCTAGGTCCAAAAGACTTCTCAACAGCTTCTACCCCCAAGCCATAAGACTCCTGAACAGCTAATCATGGCTACCCGGACTATTTGCACTGCCCCCCCACCCCATCCTTTTTACGCTGCTGCTAGAGTGTGCTCCTAATCTCAGCTCGTTACCTGTATAAAAGACACCTGGGAGCCAGAAATCTTTCTGATTGAGAGGGGGTCAAATACTTATTTCCCTAATTAAAATGCAAATCAATTTATAACATTTTTTACATGCATTTTTCAGGAATTTTTTGTTGTTATTCTGTCTCTCACTGTTCAAATAAACCTTCCATTAAAATGATAGACTGATCATTTCTTTGTCAGTGGGCAAACGTACAAAATCAGCAGGGGATCAAATACTTTTTTCCCTCACTGTACATGGCCTTCACTCTCTTCAGGGGCTTGGTGAGCCAGCAGGGCCTGAATACACACTTAGAAATTAACACTCAAAAATATTGGAAATAAAATAAAACATCAGAAATAAAGTGTTATATTAGGATTATTCTAGCGCACCAATTTTAGCACAGTCTAAAGAGTCGATGCATATAGAAGTGATTCCCTCATGTGCCATCTGTCTTTGTAGTAGATCATCTATGCATCATAAACTAATCATTATGTGCAACATCTTCTGCGCTGATTCAATCATGTCATATAGGTGGTCTCATTTGACACTTCCCTGGCAAAAAGCCATTTGAAGATGTACCTACTTATTAGATGTTTTAATGTGATTTTCATTCAATACTTGTTCTTTATCACGTTCTCCTGTGACCAGACATGGTTTATATTACAATAACTGATCCTACAGACGAGTAGTTTATAAAGTACTCTTACCTAGATGATCATGTTGTAACCTTCCTCGTGTGTGTGTGGGTAGCTCTTAACTCCCCTCTAGAGGCCTGTTCCGTCTACCTCTGCGAGTATGAGCCCTATCTGAAGGACCCGGTGGGCTACCCCAAGGTTATTTTGGGTACTTTAGACACAGAGCATGCCTCTCTGCAGTTCCAGTGGCATTCCTTAATAGTCGCTAACCCACTTCGTTTTAAATAACAACGTAATAGCCACTCCATCCAGAGATCACTTGGAGCTGCCTTGAAGCCTGCCCTATCTCTCTCCTCTGTGTGTATCTCACAACACAGATTACAGAGCCGTTTTAATCATTACGCCACAATGAGAGGGCTGAGAGGCCAGGCTGGTTCATCGTCTCTCATTTGTTAGGCAAGAGAGTGGTTGTGACTGGTCCGGTCTCAACGCCCGCCTGGGCTTACTTCAAACGCTGGGTGTTTTGTTTTGATTTTAATTAGGGTCCTTAACCGAGTCAATAGGTTATCTAAATACCTTGTTGTTGCTCCAGTCCAGGCACAATGGCCAAGCATCGATCAGGCAGGGAACTGCATGCTGAGAACTTGATAAACGAATCCTCCTTCCCCTGAGCCCCCCATGAGCAACACACTGGGTGGGAGGTGTGTGTGTGTATGCGTGCGTGTGTGTATACTCTAGCTAGCATGTGTGTGCAATGCAGGTGTGTGTGTGTGTGTGTGGAGGGGCGGTTTTCATGGTGTTGCGCTGCCTTTGCATTGAGCGACCTTTTTAATCATTGATGGTGATCAACCATGGCAGACAGATGACTGGGCGCAGCACACAGACACTCCTGCAAGGACGGAAGGGCAATGTGTGATTGGCTCTCAGCCTCTGTGCTCAATTCATTAGGATTCATCAGGACCACAGCCCTAGAACAAAAGCCACTGTTCAAAGGTATAATTTGATGCCATTACTTCAGCAGCTACCTGACTTTCATGCTCCAAATATTCTCTGTTGAAGTGCAAGTGAGAGTCGATGTAATGACCTCTGTATTTGGACACTACAATTTGGTCCTCAGTGTGCGTTGTGAAAGCACTTCAAATGTGTGTGTGTGTTGTCTATGCAGCCGGCAGCAGTGTTATCTGTATTCTGTGTGAGTGCTTGGACTGCTGTAACGCTGTTAGCGCCCTAGCAAGGATGAAGATGTACTGCATTAATTGTCCATTGGCGTGTCTATATTAATTGTCCATTGGAGTGTCAGAGCTGCACGGTGGGGCGGGCCGGTTGGAGTCAAACAGAGGTCTCTGAGACACTTGTACTGTGATTTAATCCTGTGATGTAATCCCTGTTGTAGATTCTGCACCTCCTGTTCTACGTGCTGCCAATGCTGGGGGCCTTTGTCTACGGACTCATAGTGCCTGGCTGCACCTGGGTGCCTGATTGGACTGTGTTCGTTGCTGGAGGCATTGCCCAGGTAAGATATGGGGGACATATTTGTGTTATTATGGGTTAAGAACATAAACTACAGTTCCCAGAATGCAATGTGCTCTATCTACATTACTTCTTCTACATCCAAGACCTCTATACTAGGCGATGTCAGAGGAAGGCCCAGAAAATTGACAAAGACTCCAGCCACCCAAGTCATAGACTGTTCTCTCTGCTACTGCATGGCAAGCAGTACCGGAGCTCCAAGTCTAGGTCCAAAAGGCTCCTTAACAGCTTCTACCTCCAAGCCATAAGACTGCAGAACAATTAATCAAATGGCTACCCAGGCTATTTGCATTGATTTTACACTGCTGCTACTCGCTGTTTATTATCTATGCATAGTCACTTTACCCCTACATACATGTACATATTACCTCAATTACCTCGACTAACCTGTACCCCCGCACATTGACTCGGTACCGGTACCCCCTGTATATAGCCTCATTATTGTTATTTTATTGTGTTACTTTCTTTACTTTAGTTTATTTAGTAAATATTTTCTTAACTCTTATTTTCTTAAAACTGTGTTGTTGGTTAAGGGCTTGTAAGTAAGCATTTCAAGGTAAGGTGTACACCAGTTGTATTCGGCGCATGTGACAAATACAATTTTATTTTATTTGATTCTACATACTGCTATTACTAGTCATACTAGACTTGAACAGGTTGAATCACTTAACAGTGACTAGGGCCCTGAAAGTTCAAACTGTGTACATTACGCTCAGCATTAGTTTCAAGTTGTATTAGTCGTATGTACAGGATACACATGGTATACACCGTCCAACTTAAATGCTTACTTGCAGGTTCCTGCTCGACAATGCAACAACAATAAGAAATAATAAAAGATAAGAATACGAACATAAAGTAAATGGCTCAGTAGAATAGAATAGTGAAAGTATAGCTCCCAATGCTACCACTATCGCAAGTTCTTATTGAAATATTTTATTAGATCCAGCTTTAATAAGGCCTCTTCATGGCGTCCGTGTTCATAATAATAACCAGTCAGCCCCATCCTATAGAGACCTATTTCCTGTCATCAGGAGGCTGAATTTCCTCTCCATGCTCGACTAATAGAGGCAGCCATCAAACAAGAGGCAGTGATCAAAGGCCAGTACTGTATAGACTCGTCTGCAGCCCCTACTATCCCTCAACACGGGGGAAGGCCAGCCTCGGGGATTCAGCATTTCTAATCAAAAGACTCCTGTGAAACGGAGCAGGGCACCAGAGTCTTCTCTCTGAGGTCGGGCTTTGCTGTACTGTACATCGCTGGCTGCAGATACTAATGGGTGTTGCAGAGGCTCAAAGTAGAGTAACGTATCAGGTTTAAAGCTATTAAATCAAGGCTTTTGTGAGGCAACACTTGAAAATCAACACTTGAAAATTAGTGGTCAGTTGTGAATAAACGTATTGCCTAGCTATGAGAGTGAACAAGAATTACACTAGTATGTGGACACCACTTCAAATTAGTGGATTTGGCTATTTCAGCCACACCCGTTGCTGACAGGTGTATAAAATCGAGCACACTTCCATACAATCTCCATAGACAAACATTGGCAGTAGGATGGCCGTACTGAGGAGCTCAGTGACTTTCAACGTGGCACCATCATAGGATGCCACCTTTCTAACAAGTCAGTTCGTCAAATTTCTGCCCTGCTAGAGCTTCTCCGGTCAACTGTAAGTGCTGTTATTGTGAAGTGGAAACATCTAGGAGCAACAACGGCTCAACCGCGAAGTGGTAGGCCACACAAGCTAAAAAAATCTAATAAAGAAATTGTCTGTCCTCGGTTGCAACACTCACTATCGAGTTCCAAACTGCCTCTGGAATAAACGTTAGCACAAGAACTGTTCGTCGGGAGCTTCATGAAATGGGTTTCCATGGCCGAGCAGCCGCACATAAGCCTAAGATCACCATGAACAATGCCAAGCGTCGGCTGGAGTGGTGTAAAGCTTGCCGCCATTGGACTCTGGAGCAGTGGAAACCCGTTCTCTGGAGTGATGAATCATGCTTCACCATCTGGCAGTCTGACGGAGGAATCTGGGTTTGGCGGATGCCAGGTGAACGCTACCTGCCCCAAAGCATAGTGCCAACTGTAAAGTTTGGTGGAGGAGGAATAATGGTCTGGGGCTGTTTTTCATGGTTTGGGCTCCTTAGTTCCAGTGAAGGGAAATCTTAACGCTATACAGCATACAATGACATTCTAGACAATTCTGTTGCTTCCAACTTTGTGGCAACAGTTTGGGGAAGGTCCTTTCCTGTTTCAGCATGACAGTGCCCCTGTGCACAAAGCGAGGTCCATACAGAAATGGTTTGTCGAGATCGGTGTGGAAGAACTTGACTGGCCTGCACAGAGCCCTGACCTCAACCCCATCGAACACCTTTGGGATGAATTGGAACGCTGACTGCGAGCCAGGCCTAATCGCCCAACATCAGTGCCTGATCTCACTAATGCTCTTGTGGCTGAATAGAAGCAAGTCCGCGGCAGGTAGCTTAGTGGTTAAGAGCGTTGTGCCAGTAACCGAAAGGTCGCTGGTTCTAATCCCCGAGCCGACTAGGTGAAAGATCTGTCGATGTGCCCTTGAGCAAGGCACTTAACCCTAATTGCTCATGTAAGTCGCTCTGGATAAGAGCGTCTGCTAAATGACAAAAAAAAAATAAAAATAAAAGAAATAGTCCCCGCAGCAATGTTCCAACATCTAGTGGAAAGCCTTCCCAGAAGAGTGGAGGCTGTTATAGCAGCAAAGGGGGGACCAACTCCATATTAATGCCCATGATTTTGGAATGAGATGTTTGACTTTTGGCCATGTAGTGTATGTTAGTTACAGCTAGGGATTCAACACCAATATGTGTTCTATTGGGAAGTGAGTGGTAGTATTTGTCTGACAATGGACTATCTCCCTAAAAATATTTGCTGAGTGACATGACTGAATAACCCAACACCTTTGTTTGGAATAACGCCAAACTTTTCCCCTTCCTTCCTCTCTCCTCCACAGTGCCAGTGGGCCCACATCGGGGCATCCCTCCACCCACGTACAGTGGCCCCATTCCGGATCCAAGGCGAGGCCTTCCTGGCTGTCCTGGCAGCCAACCTGCTGTACGCTGTGATCCCCTCGCTCATCGCCATGCACTGCACCAGCAACACCAACTTCTTCTTGACCGTCACTAAACTGCCCGGGATGGAGGGGATGCCCTGGGTTCCTGATGCCGACACTCTGGTTGAGAAAAAGCACAATTAAAGTTTACTAACCAAGAAAGTTACCAATAAAGATATGCCATTAAGTTTACAGAATTGAATATATTTGACTTAACATCGCACTGTATCATACAAGTAGTTTCTGTAACAAGTCCCATAGGGACCGAAAAGCAGTGTTGGGGAGCAGTGAACTACATTTTGCAGTAGCTTGGTTGTAGTTGAACAAAATTCTAATCTAGGTAGTGTTTTCAGTAGATAATTACTTTTTTGCCATGTAGCGGTGTAGCTAACTACTGGAACTACACAATACTGTGTATTAGTACCTGCTTTCAATATACAGTACTTTGTATCCCTCATTTACTCAAGTGTTTCCATTATTTTGGCAGTTCCTTTATGTGCAATCTTGAGTCTAAATACAAAATCTGGAGTGAATCGGATTCATGGTTCATGAGGAGAAGATGATTTTGAGCATTAGCGTTACATATGCAAAGAATGAGTTAATAGTTTCCTTGTTTTTTGAGATACAGTATCAATACCAAATTCAGTTTGGTTCATCTTAGGGACGTCCATGATAGCGATGACAAGTTTCAAGTTGATAGGCCATTGTGAAGTGGATTTAAATGGACACGTAAAATCTGATTTTGTATTTGTCAATAACACGCTAATCTCTTAACCAATCCCTTAGCTTTTCCCAAACTAAGTTAAGACATGTACCATGGGCCTATATAACGACATTGGTGTTATTTGGGTTTTCAAACATTTCCAAGATGGAGGAAAATCTATCCTGACAGACCTTATGGGCCCTTGAGGCAAATTTGTTCAGCATGAGGAAAGTATCATGTCCAGTTCAAACAGGGTGGCGGATATGAGGGTTTAAAGAGCGACTGCCTTTAAAAATGTCACACCCTGGCTCTGGGACTCATTATGTTGAGCCAGGGTGTGTTCATTCTATGTTTTCTGTTTCTTTGGTGTGTTGTTCCTAGTCAGTCATTGTCACTGTGGACTTCACAAATCGTTATTTGTTTTGTTGTTTCGTGTTTCGCTTTAATTAAATAAAGCATCATGTTCGTGCAACACGCTGCGCTTTGGTCCGCTTCCTGTAACGACGATCGTGACAGAAAATCCCACCAGTACCAGACCAAGCAGCGTGAGGAGGAGAGAGGCTGGTCTATGGAGCAATGGATCAAGAGCTTCGACTGGGTCAAGCCCATTGAGGAGCTGAGTGACGAGGGTTGGAGACAGAGGAGCGAGAGGTGGGCGAGAACGATGGAGGCCTGGCCCACGGGGTGGAGAGACCCCCAGAATTTTTTTAGGGGGGGGCTCATGACGTGGACGACGGGGCAGCAGGAGGCCGCGAGGGAGCGGTCCAGCGGGTGTGAAGAGGAGGCTGCCAGGTTAAGGGGGCCACTGGTCACAGAGGAGAGGGAAAGTGTGGAGGCACGGCGAGAGGTACTGGGGTGTGTTACCAGTCCGGTCCGGCCCGTTCCTGATCCCTGCGTAGGGCCAGTGGTGTGTGTCCCCAGTACGGTCCGGCCTGTTCCTGTTCCTCGCATTGAGCCTGTGGTGCGTGTCGTCAGCCCGGCCCGGCCTGTTCCTGCTTCCCGCACCGAGCCTATGGTGCGCGTCGCCAGCCCGGCCCGGCCTGTTCCTGCTCCCTGCACCAAACCTGTGGTGCGCGTCGCCAGCCCGGTCCGGCCCGTTCCTGCTCTCCGCACCAAGTCTGTGGTGCGCGTCGCCAGCCCGGCCCGGCCTGTTCCTGCTCCCCGCACCAAACCTGTGGTGCGCGTCGCCAGCCCGGTCCGGCCCGTTCCTGCTCTCCGCACCAAGTCTGTGGTGCGCGTCGCCAGCCCGGCCCGGCCTGTTCCTGCTCCCCGCACCAAACCTGTGGTGCGCGTTGCCAGCCCGGCCCGGCCTGTTCCTGCTCCCCGCACCAAGTCTGTGGTGCGTTTCGTCAGCCCTGTCCGGCTCGTTCCTGCTCTCCGCACCAAGTCTGTGGTGCGCGTCGCCAGCCCATTCCGGTCCATTCCTGCTCCACGCACCAAGCCAGGGGTGTGTATCGTCAGCCCGGTCCGGTCCGTTCCTGTTCCACGCACCAAGCCAGGGGCGCGTGTCGTCAGTCCGGCTCCGGCCAGCAGGGCTAGACAGGACCAGGGGTACTTTGGGGGGTTGGAGAGGAAGTGGGGATCAAGCCCGGAGCCGGAGCCGCCGCCGAGGAGGAATGCCCACCCAGCCCTCCCCTGTTTTTGCTCGTATTTAGGCGCGGTCGCAGTCCGCGCCTTTAGGGGGGGGTACTGTCACACCCTGGCTCGGGGACTCATTATGTTGAGCCAGGGTGTGTTCATTCTATGTTTTCTGTTTCTTTGGTGGGTGTTCTAGGTTGTCTATTTTCTATGTTTGCCGGTGTGACTCCCAATCAGAGGCAACGAGTGTCAGCTGTCGGCTGATTGTCTCTGATTGGGAGCCATATTTAATCTGTCTGTTTTTCTTTCGGGTTGTGGGATTTTGTTCGTGTGTGTTCGTGTTGTACCATAGACGTCACGCATTCGTTGTTTATTGTTTTGTTCATGTGAGCATTTATTAAATAGAATATGTTCACTCGCAACGCTGCGCCTTGGTCTCCCTCATTAGACGATCGTGACAAAAAAGCAACAAATTCATTTGAAAACGGCCTATGTGGCATCAATATGAGTCAGAAACAGTTCTTCTAGTGTCAAAATGTACCACAAAATGTAAATAGGATAGTCTTGGTCATAAAATCAGTCTTGTCTAAAACGGAGTCTTGTCTAAAACGTAGTTTGGAACATCCGTGCGTCACAACGAGTAAATGGAGGTTGATTTGACAATGTACATTTGCCCACTAACGAGGGGTTGATTGCTCTCTATCCAATAGCATAGACAGTGAGACAGAACTGCCCAGCAGCCCGACTTTGTTAACATAAGACAACACGTTGCACATTTTTTTTACTTGAGAAATACTGCACCAAACACCTTAGTTAGATGTCAAATTACACAACTAAAACATCCTCTACAAAAATGTCAACATTAATTACAGATTTCTTGAGTTATCTGAGATTCATTCTGGGGATTTTGAGGAAGTAAAAATTAGCTTCCGTGTCTCATGGGGGACAAACATCCTTAACCAAACGTGGAATCGATTAGGCAACATATCTCTAAGACTGAAATCTCGTTTTCCTAATGAGCAACAGAATCTGCCAATCGGCATGCTCAGTGGCTGTTTAAGTGAGACTGCTCATCACAGCACCACCTATAGGCCAATAGGTGCCATTATTTTTGACCAATTTACTAATGGCCTCTAATTTCTGTGTGCCAAATTAGAAAAAAAGTTATGCTTGAGTTATTTGACAAGGGAATTTTAAAAATAAGAATAACAATACGTTTCATAGCTTCGATGTGAACCCCTAAATAGAGTGAGGGGAAAAAAGTATTTGATCCCCTGCTGATTTTGTACGTTTGCCCACTGACAAAGACATGATCAGTCTATAATTTTAATGGTAGGTTTATTTGAACAGTGAGAGACAGAATAACAACAACAAAAAATCCAGAAAAACGCATGTCAAAAATGTTATAAATTGATTTGCATTTTAATGAGGGAAATAAGTATTTGACCCCTCTGCAAAACATGACTTAGTACTTGGTGGCAAAACCCTTGTTGGCAATCACAGAGGTCAGACGTTTCTTGTAGTTGGCCACCAGGTTTGCATACATCTCAGGAGGGATTTTGTCCCACTCCTCTTTGCAGATCTTCTCCAATTCATTAAGGTTTTGAGGCTGATGTTTGGCAACTCGAACCTTCAGCTCCCTCCACAGATTTTCTATGGGATTAAGGTCTGGAGACTGGCTAGGCCACTCCAGGACCTTAACGTGCTTCTTCTTGAGGCACTCCTTTGTTGCCTTGGCCATGTGTTTTGGGTCATTGTCATGCTGGAATACCCATCCACGACCCATTTTCAATGCCCTGGCTGAGGGAAGGAGGTTCTCACCCAAGATTTGACGGTACATGGCCCTGTCCATCGTCCCTTTGATGCTGTGAAGTTGTACTTATTATTATTATTATTATTATTATTATTATTATACTGTCCCCTTAGCAGAAAAACACCCCCAAAGCATAATGTTTCCATCTCCATGATTGACGGTGGGGATGGTGTTCTTGGGGTCATAGGCAGCATTCCTCCTCCTCCAAACACGGCGAGTTGAGTTGATGCCAAAGAGCTCGATTTTGGTCTCATCTGACCACAACACTTTCACCCAGTTCTCCTCTGAATCATTCAGATGTTCATTGGCAAACTTCAGACGGGCCTGTATATGTGCTTTCTTGAGCAGGGGGACCTTGCGGGTGCTGCAGGATTTCAGTCCTTCATGGCGTAGTGTGTTACCAATTGTTTTCTTGGTGACTATGGTCCCAGCTGCCTTGAGATCATTGACAAGATCCTCCCGTGTAGTTCTGGGCTGATTCCTCACCGTTCTCATGATCATTGCAACTCCACGAGGTGAGATCTTGCATGGAGCCCCAGGCCGAGGGAGATTGACAGTTATTTTGTGTTTCTTCCATTTGCGAATAATCACACCAACTGTTGTCACCTTCTCACCAAGCTGCTTGGCGATGGTCTTGTAGCCCATTCCAGCCATGTGTAGGCCTACAATCTTGTCCCTGACATCCTTGGAGAGCTCTTTGGTCTTGGCCATGGTAGAGAGTTTGGAATCTTATTGATTGATTGCTTCTGTGGACAGGTGTCTTTATACAGGTAACAAACTGAGATTAGGAGCAGTCCCTTTAAGAGTGTGCTCCTAATCTCATCTTGTTACCTGTAGAAAAGACACCTGGGAGACAGAAATCTTTCTGACTGAGAGGGGGTCAAATACTTATTTCCCTCATTAAAATTCAAATCAATTTATAACATTTTTAACATGCGTTTTTCTGGATTTTTTTGTTGTTATTCTGTCTCTCACTGTTCAAATAAACCTACCATTAAAATTATAGACTGATCATTTCTTTGTCAGTGGGCAAACGTACAAAATCAG